AGAGAGGAAAATTAAACATCTTTTTAAAAAATATTTTTTAAAAAAACATCCTCTCTCCATCTTCCTCTTAAGTTATTGACAGGAAGTGTCTCCAAAAAATAAAGAAGAAAAAATTATCAGTTATCACATCTTATTTCAGTCCCTGGACAAAAGCATTCATGACTTCTTATTTCTGAATGTTTTACTGATTCTAATTGGCCTATAAGGATTAGGATCTAAGGTTTTTCTCTACCTTTAAATTGAGAAATCCCACCCCCCACCCCCCACCCCACGTCCCGCCCCCCCGACACACAAAGATCCTTCTCAATTTCTTTGTTGGATTCTACCAAGTTTCCCCAAGTTACAGCCCCTTGGGTCACCCAAAACAGATTACCCCATCACTGTACCGCCATGGAAAACAGGTCATCTCTCCTCAGAAAGAAAAAAACACAGGCACACTCACAAGCACACCCATGTGTGTGTGCATGCGCCACACACACACACACACAGAGGCAAGGTCAGCTCCCTCACCGAGGACCCAGCTCTGATCTTTCCATCCGGGACGTGCCAGGTCAAAGGAGACTCGAGAAAGTTGTTTGTAAGCAGTGGACCGCCAGGCTCAGCTCTGGCTTCCTTTGAAGTGACAGTGCTTTGTCTTCAAACACCCAGTGCCCTCAGAGTGCCTGTCACTCCACTGTGAAATATTGGTATTGGCTAGGGCTGGTAATAAAACCCCTGTGCCCCTTTGATTTCCAGTGGTATTTATTTTAAAGCATTCTTCACCCCTCCGACTCCATGGTGTCCATCATGATCTGTCAAGCCCGGCTTGCTGGTTTGCTTACCAGCCTTCCCGGTCCCCTCTCTGACACTTCAATAAGGAGCAGTTGGTGATTGATATTCTCTGGGCTGGGGCTTCTACCACGTCCTGCAGCTCACAGCTGCCCTGCAATGGACATCCTCTACATCCTTCCTCATGGATGGAGAGGAGGGCCTCTGAAAATGGGAGCCAGGGCCCTAGGCCCCTGGTTCAACTTGATGCTCAAATAACAAACATGAAAGCATAGACATTTATCACCATTCCAGGCTATTCCTGGGGCCTTATTACCTATATAAGGGGATGGGGTGGTAGAGCTGTGTTCCCAGCAGGAATCTGAGCTATGGAAAGTCACTTGTTTCTTAGATCTACATTTAGGTTTTGTTTCTGAATTTTTTTTTTCCTTGGATTTGGTTTTATTCACCATTCATTGGTGCCCCCAGTTTGCTCTTGGGATTTAAGTGTGAAGAAAGCAATGCAATGCTGATGTTGAAACAGGATGTGTATGGAAGTGGGATTTCTCCCGCATAGAGGGAGCTCAGGATCTCTGGGATTCCTCCATTAGTCCATGGGGTGAGTGTGCAGGACCCTTCCCTGACACTGAAAGGAAGAAAGGGTGAAAGGGCTTTTCATTCTGGGCTTTCCGCTCACACCGAGGCCCCCAGGGTCACCATGAGCATGCAGGGTAAGCTGCAGATGAGGCAGGGGCGCCCGCTTCCATGGAGCATGTTGGGAACTGTGTCCCCTGTGGAGGGGGAGAGAGGAGCAGGTGTCCCTGCTGCAGCTGACACAGTCTCATGCTCAGGGCCAGCGTGTGAGCTGGACAAGTCAGGCCACAGCCAGATTTCAGCTCCAACAAACACCATCCACATACATGGCAGCCCCGTCAAGCCCCATCCCACCAGCCACTGGGCTTTTTTCCTGAAGGGAAGCCAGTGGGCCCCATAGCTATCAGCATGGAGGCTACCCGTGGTCACTTGGACAACTGTTCCCCCAAGTGTGGAGCATGTCCTGCTGGCAATGGCTGGGGCAATTCTGTTTGAATTGTATTAGGTTTACAATAGAACTTTCCTGCAAAAATGGTTTACAAACAATGAGAGCCCAGATTATGTGCATTCTTGTGCACTGAGTATCCATGTGTGTCCCTGCCTTTTTTGTTTACAAACACATTTTAAGGTCACTTCTGTTGGTTCAGAGATAGGATAAAACCTGTAAGGATGGTTGAATAATGGCCCTCAGATCCCAGTCCATGGAACCTGTGGATGGTTATGACCTGAGTTAGAAAAGGGTCTCAGAAGCAGTAATCAAATTAAGGGTCTCGAAATGAGATAAGCCCATGTTTAGTGAGGCCCCTAAATCCAATGACAAGTGTCCTTATAAGAGAAAGACAGAAGAAGATATGACCCACAGTGACACAGGGAGAAGTCCACATGAAGATGTAGGCAGAGGCCACAAGATGTAGCTCAGGCCACAAACCAAGGAAATAGTTGGAGGCCCCAGAAGCCAAAAGAGGCCAGGAAGGATCATCCCCTAGAAAGTCCAGAGGGAGCATGAGCCTCTTGGCCTCCAAAACTGGGAGAGAATCCAGTTTCATTGTTCAAAGCCACCACGTTTATGGCAATTTCTTACAACTACCTTAGGAAACTGATACAGGTGACACCCAACTGGAGACACTGCCATCAATGGCGGTCCCACGTCTTTGGGCGGCCCAGCATGTGCCCAGCCCACCTACACTCTATCTGACCTTCCCATGTTCCCTCTTCCTGACCCTGAGCCTTTATCCACTCAATCCCCAGTCCAGAAAGCCTCTGTCTGTTCTCCCTACATCCAGATTTCCAAAAGAACCACCATCTTTCCAGAAAGAGCCTCCTTTTTGTGTTCCCCCCCACCCCCGCCCAACACTAATGAGATGACCTCGTCCTCTGCTGAACAACAAGAAAACACTCATTACCCACGTGCACACTCATGGGCACTCAGCATGTGCTAACTGTCGTGCACCTGTGTTTATAATGCTGAGCGTATGATGATACTTGGCCATCTGTGCTGGAGTCTGCAAGGCGTTGCTGCACCTTGAATCTCACACTGACAGACCATCGACATCCTAGACAGACAGACAGGAGATGTCTCGGGGAAGCAAACTGATCTGCCAATGTCATTCCCAGTGGCATTTGAGCTAAGGGGTGGTCAGTGGGTCAGTCTGTCTGTCTTTGTCCTGTACCACATTTATCGAGAGCAGGGGTCGCCTTTGTTCCCCTCCCTGTCACAGTGCCTAGTCCAATGCCTGGGAAGCTAAGCAGGGAGGCTGACGGGGAGTTCCAGGAGCAGCTCCATTTGGCTATCCTTAAGGTGCTGGGAAGAGAGCTGGTGGTAAGCTCCTCCATGGGGGCAACTGGCAGAGCTCTGCCTGATTCTGTTGGATTCCACCAATGACCATCAGAACCTCCTAGGTAGAGGGGCTACCAGCTGTCTGCCAGCATCTCAGCAGGGGTTCCATCCAAGCTCTACTCCATAAAGGAAAATTCGAGAACTGGAGCTGATGGGGGCAAAAGTGAGGGAAGAGTCCATGGGAACAGGGAACGAGGAGTCAACCAGCAAGTACCATGACCCCCGGGAGCTCACTTTGCACTTGGAGTTCCCACACCTCTGGAAGTCACCCACACACACACAATTCTGTGCACAATTCCCAGGTGCCCTGAGTTGGCACTTCAGAGGGGGTTGGGCTGGCCCTGGATTCCCGGCTGTGGGTTATACATTGGAAAACTCTTAAGGAGAGAGGAGGGGCATCCACAGGGCACCTGGAGAGCACAGAGGTGACATCAATGGCCCCTGTGGCTGTCACAAGAAGGCCCAATGATAAAGCAGAGAGTTGCATGGTCCCCTGGCCTTTGCATGGGGGAGAACACCCTCTTGTCCTGGTGGTACAGACCAGCATTTAGCCCTGAGATGCCCTCCATGGGGCGTGGCAGTATCAAGCACAGACCAATGGGCAATTCCGCTGGATACAGAGGAGGGAGATGGAGGTGCGGATGAGAGCCACAGATGAGGAAGAGAGCTCAGAGCCAGTTCCCTGATGGAATTTCCACCTACCCACCCCCCTGCATCCCAGCCTCTCCCACATGGGACTTGACCCTTGACATTCCTTAACAAAAACAACGTTTCCTCTTCAACAACTGGCCCCAACTGTAAGATGAATTCCTGCCTGGATTTAAATTCTCCCTGGGAAGCAAAACTAGTCCTTGTCCTTGCCTACCCTGGAGGCCTTTGGGGGTTGGGAAGCAGAGGTGTGGGGAGAGCACTCAAGTGCCATCTGTCTGTAGGGGGCACTGGAGCTACACAAAGGTGGAGGCGGAGTTGCCCCAGCAAAGGATCCCCTAGGGCCAAAGACCTGAAGCATGAGAAAAAGCCAAGGGTTAGCCCTTGAGCCAAACAGACAACAATGAACCACAGAAGGATGGTAATTCAGGCACTGCTGGCCAGATGGGACCCTGCAGTCTTTCCCACAGGGTATTCATTTTTCCCAATCAACAATCAAGCAAGGCTAAGGCTGAGCTCCTTAATGCTGGGGAGAGGGGAGAAAGAGAGAGGAAATTGAGGTCCAGAGAAGCTAAGCCATTTGCCCCGGTTGCCCAGTGATTGCAGCTTAAAATAGCCATTTTTTCCAGGAAGCAGCCCCACTTGGTTCGCCCTTTATTTATTTCCGAGCATGGTGAAGAGCGTGCCTCTCACCACTCCACATGTAAGCAATGTACCCTGCAGTTTCACAGAACTACTCATCCTTCTACTTCACATGGGCTCTCAAGCCCATCCACAGACCCACTTTAGCTTTACAATAGCCCTGCAGAGAGAACTAAACAAGCTTTCTTTTTAGAGATGGTGAAAGTAGAGGCACCAAGAGCTGTGATTCATGTTCTCCTGGGTCCCAGAGGGAAGCTGCACCTGGTTCAGAGCTTGGCACAGGTGGCCAGTACTCAAGGATGTTGATGACTTCTCAATATTGAATTCTCCGTCTTCTACCGCATGCCCTCCCCACTATTTTAGGGTCGCTTTGATTGTCTCATAGACGTCACGCCTCTGTTACTCTCCCTTTTGGGCCTGACCCTTGCGGCACTTGGGGCTGACTCCTGCCCATCCCGAATCCCCAGTGTCTATGCCTTGGGTGGGTGCCTTCGAGTGCCCAGTCTGGATGCACCTCCAAAGAGAGCATTACCTGCTATTTCTGAAGAGGCCTGTCCAGGTGTCCTGCATGGCTTCACTCCCTCGAGTGGGGGAGGGTGGCGGCTTCTTCTTCGCACCCAGGTTGGTGTGCGAAGTCTACTGGCTCTCAGCTGAACACAGCTCTGCAAGAAATTCCTTTTGTACCTGTAGAAGAGAGAAGCACACTTGCAGCAACCAGCCTGGAGAGCACATGCCTGGAAAAATCTGGAAAGTCCCTGCGGGGTGCCCAGGAGAACATGGGGCTCAACCTCTAACTAGCTGGTCAGCTCTGAGCAACTCCCGATCCCTCCATACTTCATCCCCCACCTCTCCAGGACAATGCGCCTAGCTTCAGAGGTTGTTGTAGGAACTAAATGAGGTGGTCACAAAATGCTTCCCAGGATGCTAACTCATAGCAAGGGCTTAGTCAAGGATAGTTGCTGCAATTAGGTTTTAAGCTATGTGGTCTTGACTACTTGGTTCACAGACTGTCCAACAGATTATTCTTCAATGATGGAAATGTTCTGTAATCTGTATTGACAAATACAGTAGCCATTAGGCCCATGTAGCTATTGTGCATTTGAAATGTAGTTAGCGTGTCTGAGAAACTGAGTTTTAAATTGTATTTCACTTTAATGAATTTGAATAGCCACATGTGGCTAGTGACCACCGTGATAGTATTCTTTGTAGACCTTCCATCTGGAGGAGACCTACTGAATCATCTGATTTATTTATCTTCAAAACAAAGTATTCACATCTCAGAGGGAAGGCATGATGACAGTAGAGAAAGAAAAATACTAGAGCTTCTATTTACACTTATTTTCTTCTAGTCTTTCTTATTTCTATTGTTTCATGTCATTTCTTATTTCTATTGTTTCATGTCATAGAGTAGAATATATGTATAATTTGTAAATGAACAAATACACATTTAATAGAGTGCAGGCTATAAATTATTTTACTAATAGGAATGTGCAACCACAAACAGGCCATCAATCTAGTCTAGCACCCCCATTATACAGGAGCAAGAATGAGACGAAAAGCCAGGCCTGTAATATGCCTTAAGCTCTTTTAGAAGATCTTTGCACTGCTTCTAACTGCCTGGTCAAGCCACAAGTAATCCCTTCCCTTTATGAGCCTCAGTTTACAATATTTCTACCCCACAGTGCTCCTCAGAACTGGCTATTTTCCTTTCTCATTTATCTGAGCCACTGCCAAGATCCAGCCGCAGTCCCGTAATCACCAGGGCTGCTCACAGAATTTTAAATAAGATCTGCAGAATGCAGTATCCTCTTGGGCGCTGGTTTTTCCTGGCAGCAACAATGAGAAAGTGACATTTTGTTCATCTTTTCTGGCCTCTGTGTTTGGGAGAAGCTCCCCTCATCTGGGCATGATTGCCTCCCCTGCCTGGGGCAGGAGCTGTCATTCCCGGGGGGCGGTTGTGGGGTTTGGGAGGCGGTGGTGGCTGGTTTGTTCTTTGTTGCAGTTGTCAAGACCACAGGTTCCTGAAAGAGCTATCTGAGCCAGGGTGGGGACCGACAAACCCCTGAACCAAATCCTGCAGGGCCTGGGTGGAGAGAGATTTCAAAGTGCAGAGACAAAAGGAGGAAGGAAGGGGCGGCACATGGAGAGAATTCTGCTACCTGCTGCTGGGTCACCTTTGCACGAGTCAGTGGGTGGCTGCCACACACTTGCAGGTGTTCAGAACGGCACAGTTCGAACTGCAGGGAGGTTTTACTTCTAGAAAATTAGGAAACCGGGATCTTTCTACTCAAGCAAAATAATGAGGAGAGAGCTAGGAAAGGCCCAGCCTCTGAATTCACACTTCATCAAGGTGGAATTTCAACCTTTTTGTCTTCGAGAAGAGCCCAAGTGGACCTTGGCAATGTCTTCAAAGGACTGTTTAGTTTAGTCATGGGCAGGGCAGGTTTCTGTCTTTCCTGGCTCTCCCAGAACGTTCTGTGTGCAGCCCCTCCTGCAGAAGCAGCATCCTGGCTTAGGAAGGTTTTGCAAGCTCATCTCCGTCACCAGCCATGCAAGGCCCCTCAAGGTGTGGCTGGTGCTGTTGGGGCCCCATCCAGGAGACTTTCGCCAGGCTGCACCTCCACACCCGGCTGTGAGGGTGACGTGCTCCTCACCCTGCTGACACCTTCATCAGGCTCCTTCAGGGAGGGACAGTAGACCCAAGGACTGGGTCTGGCAGGTGTACGCAGCCCATGACACACACATTCCTTCCTGGGGTGAAACTATGAGATCTGACATGCTATTTCCCTCACTTTCCTCTCTTGACCCCACAGAGAACAAAGCAAAGAGAAGTGCAGTGGAGGTGTGGATGGCAGAGCCGCTGTATCCTGCTAAGCAGGACCTGGGACTGCTGTCAAAGCTCTGGGGCTGTGGCCAACATGACGAAGAGTCTCAGCCACGTGTGGTGGGGGCCACATGCAGCAGAGGCCATGTGGACTCAGGGCCACATCTGTAGGCCTTTGTTTTTACCTCACTGCAGAGATTGTGTTCTCATTACTGAGAGTGCTATCTCATTGAATAAGTAAATTGTGTGATGACTAAAGTGAATAGACACATGGCTTAGACAGATAAACATCCGCTCCATAAGGAAAAGCACTAGCTACTAATAGAATTGCATTCTCAAACCCCAGGATTTTTTCTTCTCCACTCTCGCCTTCAATGACTAATGTATATTTTAGGGTTTTACAGGGTGCCCTTCTCCCATACAACCCGCAATCTTCTCCTTGCTCATTTCCGTTCACTTGGGGCTTCACAATTCATTGTTCCATTTGTTGGAAGCTTCCTAGGAGCAAGTCTCTGAGTGTTTCATGCTTCATACAGCACGGTACACAGCTACAAATTAATCAATAAAATCCAATTCCATGGTCCTGCGCTTGCTTTGGGCAAGGCGGGGAGGTATTTTGTGAGCGCTCCGGATCTCTATGCCTCTAGTTTAATGTCAGGGCAATTAGTCTTCTGAGTATGAATTTTCTGCGTTTTTCCATTTCCACTCTGAAAGTGGATCCTGTATTTTCTAATCCCTCTCCTTTAACTCATGTAGTTTTGTTAATGAAAACAACCGTTTTCATTACAGTGTGGTATTTGTAGTTGGCAAAAAACATAGAGATGAATGAAAGCAGAATGAAAGGCCCTGAAAAAAACTTCAAGTATAAACAAGAAGTTAAAATTTAACATGTAAGTGGCCAAAAGTGCATTAATGGAGGGGTCTGCTTGATTTCTATGGAAAGGTCCAGCTAATAAATATTTTAGGCTTTGTATGCCACAGACAATCTGTGCCACATATTCTTCTTCTGTTTTTATATGGATAAGCTTTTAAAAATAGACAAACCAAGCCAGGTGTGGTGGTGCGTGCCTGTACTCCCAGCTACTCCAGAAGCTGAGGCAGGAAGACCACTGAGGCCAGGAATGTGAGACTGTGGTGTGCTATGATCACACCTGTGAATAGCCACGGCCCTGCAGCCTGGGCAACATACTGAGACCCTGTTGATTAAATATATATATGTATAAATAATGTGCTGCTCATGGTTAAAGTAAGTTAAAAACCATATTTAACCCATGGTCCATAGTTGTCTTTATAAACAAAAATAGAAATAAATATTTCTCTATATATGAATTCACATAAGAAGAAAATATAAGAGAACATATCTGCATATTTTTGAAAGTAGGAAATTGAGACTAAAGAAATGTTTCTTAGATATATCAAAAAGTAATAACCATAAAGGAAAAGACAGCCCCATTTGACTACATCAAAATGTATAAATTCTTAATGAAAAAACCATGATTATCAAGGTTAAAAAATAAGAACTCCATTTCCAACAGCACAGTGGACTCAGTACTCTGACTGATTACCACCAAACTTATCCTTATACTGAAAATAATTAAAAATGCAGCATAAAATGTAAAAATTTTTTAAACTGATATTTAAATTTATTTATGTTCTGATTAAAAGGTAAGAAATAGTTCAAAGGCAAAACCAAGTGAGAGCTGCACCCTGGAAAAGTGAGACTGCTTTCACTTCAAGGAGTCTGCCAAACCAGGTGAGGATGACCTTCCCATTTTCATGCTCTGGTGCAGTTGAGGGTGCAGGACTCAAAGCCCAGAATGTTCTTCAGTGAGAGGCAAGTGGAAGACCCAACGTCCCTTCCTGCATAAAGCTGAGACCTCTGAAAGGCATACTCTCAATATGTGGATGAATTAGAATTAAATACTCAGTACCCCCACCACCTGCCCAGGGAACATAACAACAGACAAACGAGCACCCCCAGGCACCTAGGGGAAGCAAAACAAATATTTATTGGAGGAATCCACCTTCAACCCACATCTCAAAGTTCCAAAAATATCAACTAACTGTCAAAAATTTTAACACAAACAAGGAAATAAGTTAACATATGTGACAGCAAATATATAAAACAGAGTCAGATGTGCCAAGACTTCATATGTTGTCATTGACAGATGCAAAACATTAGATGTGTTTTTTTTTAAAAAAAAAAAAAAAAAAAAAAAAGGTTGAAAATCAGAGTCAAGGGCAAGAGACTATAAAAGTGATCAAGCAAATTAGAAAAATAAATAAAACTTTTTGGAAAAAAATTCACATAAATAATTAAATTTAAAATTTAGCAGACCAATAAAAGTAGGGGAGATCAACTAAGAGGCACTGCAATAGGCCGGGGACTTCTGACCAAGACTTTACAAAAGTAACCAACTTTACCATCCCAAGTAAAAAACTGAATAAAGATACAAAAGAATAGTGTTCAGGGCATTGGACATTGAGCAATAAGGGCAGTGATCCATGAAAGAAGAGAGACAGATGAGGTAAGCCTGATGACACCTCAACTTATTGAAGAAGAAATTTTCCAGGTCTGAAACCATTTGTTGAAAAGACTATACTTTTTCCACTGAATTTCCTTTGAGCCTGTATGAAAAATCAATTGACCACAGCATAGTCTATTTCTATATCCTCTATTTTGCTCTACTGATCTGTGTATCCATTTTGATGCAAATACCACACTCTTTGGCATACCTTAGCTTTATAGTAGGTCTTAGAGTCAAGAGCCGTAATCAAGTCGGCGTGGTATTTGCATTGAAATAGACAAATAGATCAACAAATGATGCTGGAACAACCAGATAAGATATTCACAGGCAAA